AAGCTGGTTTTGAAAAAAGAATAGGGAAGCTTTGTGTAACAATTCCTTACTGGAAAGTTTGAAAAGAATTCTTGAAATCTACGGGCACCAGGAGATTTTTGTTTATTTATTTTTGTTTTTTTAAATGATGCTGGCAATGATTTCAACTTCTGTGGAGGGGTTTGCCAAACAGCCTTCCAAGAAGGCTGTTCCTACGGACATCATCATCGGTGGCATCTCCATTTCCTCACACCCCGCCCACTCTGGGTTTGTTTCTTAATATCTTGCTTATTAGAAGGCTACAACTGCAGCTCATTAGTGGCGACTGTGAAGACAGTAAGGGCAGGGCTCCAGGCTGGAGTGGGAGACAGATTCTAAACAAAACAGAATGACCGACTACTCTTAAAGATGGAGGAGGAGCTGAAGGAGCCCAGGAGCGAAGTCCTGGTCACAGTCAAAATTGGAGCTTTGCTGCCTGTAGTCCTTTATCTCTTTGGCCCCACAGAGAGAAGCAGGGGAGACAGAAGGTGGGACCCAGGTCCCCGGCTGGGGGCACGCGAGAGGCAATGCATGCAATCGATGTGCCTCTTGCACATTGATGTTTCCCTCCCTTCCTCTCTCTCTCTAGGTAAATAAATAACATCTTAAAAAGAATTAAGCTGGACAACAGTCATTCGCCAACGCGGTCCCAAATGGTCACCCCATCTCTGAGGCCACCGGGGAAAGAGGAGACAATCAAGAACAATGAAAAGTGTTAGCTGAATTCCTTAGACCTAGGGAAGAAAGATACTTTAACTTGCACAGCCTTATGTATTCAATATATATCTTCTTGGCCAGTCCTCCACTCAGTCATTCAACTATCATTTATTGAAAGCCTATGACAAAACTAACAGATACACGTGCTCCAAGGTGTGATGGGAGAGAAGTTCCCCCGGGTTGGCGTGATGCGCCAGCAGCTGCACAACCTGGATCCCCCTCAAGGAGGGGCTTGTGGCAGCTGCCGGCGACCTGTGGGCAGAGCACATCCAGCTGTGCTGAGGCCACACCCTTCCCAGGGCACCCACATCCCTCCCACAACTGGGCAGGGAAGGGTGTAAAGGCCTGGCCCAGTGTGGGACAATTGTGGTATGTGCCACGTTAGCCCTCAAACTCCTGGTTTCCTGAGCCTGCATCACAGCTTGACTTCTGCTCCTGGTGAATCCTGCTTTCATGTCTTCCCCTCCAGGGGGCCGCCAAGGGCACTCACTGCCTTACAAGCCTTGTGCACACTCAACTCAGCCTCCGGGTCCCCGGCCAGAGAACCCGATTTGTGACAGCTGGGAGAGCGGAGAGACCAGCATCTCAAGGCAGGGAGGGGTGGGGGATTCAATTTTGTAACATTTCCACAAAAGCACTCTTGCTAGGAGGCCTACAGTTCAAAAGCTGCTGTGTAAAAAGACCTGTCCTACTCCCGTGTGATCCTGGGCCACTTTGACCCTCAGTGCCCTCAATTGTGAAGATCTTTTCTAACTCACATTCTAAGAAATTAGTTGAGAAAAAGCACTTTATACATTTTCAGATGCTATATAGCCATTAATTACTATTCCTTTCTATTGCTTTTTGGATTCTGAAGAGCTGCCATTAATGACTAACTGCTGGCAACTCAATCAGACTGTGAGGAGAAAGCAATGCCAGCCCCCAGGAGCCAGTAATTACTTGTTCGCTCTCTTTTCCTGTTTTTCTCAACTGAACAACATGAAGCCGATACAGAGTATATGTGTTTTACAAGTACACTGGAGATTTATGGTCCATGCTCTTAATTTAAAGAATGGGTAAGTTAAACCCATCATTAAGTTACTTTTTATTTGTATGTAGGTGATATTTACTCGTGAGGCTGGGACTCGATTAAAAAAAAAAAGTCGTCATGCTTACGATAGGAAGCCATCGTAAAGCTGTGAGCTGGGGTGTATGAGCACAACTCAAAATCCGGTGACTTATTCTGAGCTGGCCCCTCCCTGCCGGGGCTCGCTCTGCTGGGAGAAGACCCATCTCATGCTCTGCATGTGTCCAGAACCTTTTCAGTGCGGGCTCCTCAGCTAAAACTGGGTTCCTCCTGTCTCTAAAATCCCATGGCCGCTAGGCTTTCTCTCATGACACTTATCCTATTCTATCTAAAGTTACAACTGTTTGGATCCTTCCTGCTGGGCTGCGAACTTATGACACCTGTCCTCCGGCTGTTGATTTACCTTTGCTGCCCATGTAAGCCTTGCACCGAGGCTTTCTGAGTCCATGAAGGCAGTGGGCAGGGGAAGAAAGGAGCAAAGCTCTTCTTACTAAAATCTCTGAAGTTCTGAAAACGGGCAGCATGATTTCTGAGTCTGTCCTTCTCATACTGTGTTGGGACCTCAATAGTGGGATCGAGGGTTTGACCTTTGAAAAAACACTCTTTGTGAACAGTCCCAGCTGGTTTAGCCGGGCCTTTCATTTATTCATCTAGGGAAGGAAGGACTGAGAGCTGCTTTGACCTTTAGGGTTGGATGAACCTTCAAAGACAAAGAGCAGTGTGGGGCCTCCGAGAAGAATGACATCAGAGGGACAGGGATGAAGGCCACAGAAGTAGGGGGCCCGTCTCTAGGCAGGAGGCAGGCTGGAGCCATTGGGTCCAGAGAGAACAAGGAGCCAGAGAAAGAGACTGTGTCCTGTTTGGCCTGGGTGGCTTTTAATAGCAGTTTCTGATCATTATAGCGCACATTTACGGAGTGCTCGTTGTGGGCCAGGCACCACAGGCATGATCTCATTTGGGCGCCCAGCCTTGGTTCACAGGAGGAAGCTGAGGTGCCGGGAGGCGAAGCAACTTGCCTTAAAGCCACAGAGCTAGGGCGTGACAGACCCAGGATTTGGTTGCAGGCATTTGTATTTCCGGTCCAGATCTCAGGCACTGCCATGCTATTTGTTGCCCCTCCTAGAACCATAGGTGTCCCCTAAAAGCTGTCCCCTCCCAACTTGGGCTCCTGAGCTGGCTGGCTTCCAGCGGGGTGAACACCGTGGGAGGAGGGAGCAGGAAGCTGGAGGGTGAGCAAAGGTGAGGCCAAGGCCTTTCTCTTTCCTTCTCTGTGACAATAGCCCCTGCTTTACCACACTTGGCTCTCATAACACTCTTTCCACCCCCCACCCCCCTCCCTGACTGCTCCAGCAAGGAGTCATTCCTAAGTCCCTTTATGGGAGCCATCTAGGGCGAAGGCTGCTTCCTGCCGGAACCCCGGATGCACCACCACAACCCACACTGGCTCCCACTTGATTCTACTGTGTCCCACGGAGAATGGCAGCGGTGGGACAGGGTGACTCCACACAAATAAATGACGTTCCTGTCTGCACATTGCTTTACCGTGCAAGGTAAAGAATCTTGTGTGGATCTCGAGTCCAACAAACCATCCTGGAAAACTGTTCATGAAATCATCCGGGCATCTGAACACTGGTTGGATATTTGATGATAGCAAAGAATTACTGATTTGGGGGGGGGGGCGGGTATGCTAATGGCATTGTGGTTATAGTTAAGAGTCCTTGTATTTCAGGAATGTATACTGAAATATTTATAGGAGGGACCTACCTCCTCAAAAGTCCAAGGCCTCCTGCACGTCACAGCTCTTCAAATGTTTGAGCTAGCCATCTTGTCCCCTTGCCACTCTGGTCAACCAGTTCCCAAATGATTTCCCTCCTTGGGGACAGGAGTTTCCTGGAGATTTGACCCCCAGCTCTGGGGCAATGAGGGCAAATCATCTGTTGAGTATTAACACACCAGGAACTGTACCAGCCCTTTAACACAGTGCTATTTCCTTCTCACCAGACTCTTCCAGAAGGAGGTTAACCTTCTCCTCTCACAAAGGTCGCCCTGGTAGCAGTGAGGCCAGGACAATGTGACGATTAGTTTTATGTGCTCACATGGCATGTGACTAGGCCGCTGTACACAGTTGCTCCCACACTAACCTAGGTGCTGTTGCAGAGATATTTTGTAGATGTGGTTGACAGCTACAACCAAACCAGGCGGCTTTAAAGAGATCACCTTCAATAACCTGAGTGCGCTCATCCAATCAGTTGAAAAGCCTTACAAGTAAAACTGAGGCTTCCCTGAGGAAGAAATTCTGCCTCGAGCCTGCTGAGGGTTTCCAACTCACCTGGAGTTTGGACTTGCCAACCTCCACAGCCATGGCAGCCTTGAAATAATCAGACACTCTCTCTCTCTCTCTCATACTGTATTGGTATAATATATATTCCTATTATACTGGTTCTGTTCTCCAGAGAACCCTGGCTGCTACTGAGTTGTACCAATCTTCAAAGGTTGCACCACTGCGACCAAGGGTCAGGCCTCTAGCCACTTCCCACGCTCTGCTCACCACCACCTGCAGCGGAACCCCAGACAACCCAGTTGTGCAGCAGGGCCTCACCGGCCTCAGCTGGTGTTTGTATTTGAATAATAACATAATTCCTTCACTGGATAACAAACATAATTCCCACAAGTGTATTTAAATAATAACATAACTCCTTAACTGGATTTTGAGAATAAACTATTCGTATTGAAAGGCTGCCCAGAATGGGAGAAGCTTGTTTTCACAACGCGTGTTTTGCAGCGGGTGGGAGGTATGGTTTACTCAGTGCTTAAGAACAGTGACCAGGTCTATTCCAGGCAAGGTTGCTAATTTGCTGTGTAACTTTGGGCAATCCTGTTTTGCCACCTGAGTAATTACAACGCCAACCTGAAAGTCTGCTTTCTGCTGCCCCCATCCACTCAAATTGGCATTAAATGGTCAGAGGGCCCATCAGGAGTCGGATCTGACCTACTTTCGAATTGGACTCTGGCCATGAAGGACTCACGACACATTCCAGTGTATGGTATCAAACCAACGTAGAGGGACGGATGAGGAGTGCTCAACAGGTGCTCGCTGAACCGGCCTGCGTTCCTCACCCCATCTGGGTGCTAGTTGGGGGTTAAAGTGAAGACCCAGTCTTCACACTCAAGACAACTGCAGTTCAACGTAAGGTGCCACTTGCCCTGGCCTACGCTCTCTCTGCTCCCCTGCTCTCTGGGGAGTCTGGCAGGACACACAGCAATCTCCCTCTCAGTTTAAGAGGGCTGCCCTGAGTACAGTATAGAGTTGGCTCTTAAAGGCACAAGAGGACAATTTAAGATTAAAAAAGGGGAGAATGCCAAGTCCCATAAAAGAAATATTATTGAGTGTAACAGGGTTGGAAGGAAAGAGCAGAAAATGGTTGTAGATGAGGTGACAATTGAGATGTGCAAGAATTTAACAGTAAAAGACTTGGGAGGAATGAAAAGAGGCATTTTGGCCAAAGATAACAGAATAAGAGGCAGGAAAGAAGGGGGCTGTCTGGGGAAAAGGAAGGGAGTGTTAGCTGGAAAGTAGGCTCCAAGCAGAGGATCATGGGAGATAAGCTCAGCTAGGGCAGTTAGGGAGCTGGGTCACACTGGCCACATAAAGAGCCGTGAATGACAAAATATCAAATTGCTGGCTAATGAGGAGCTAGCGGAGGCTCCCCAAATAAAAGCGGAGAGAACCAAGGCATGTTATGGAAACCTGCATCTAGCACCAGCACGGACAGAAATCAATTGGGGAAGGGGCGTAACAGCCCCGAGAGCCGAATCAATAGCAGTAGCTGACATTGCTGCAGGCTGACCATGTACCAGCCCTGCTGAACTTGCTTGATCTCCTTTAATCCTCACAACTCCCGAAGGTACACTTACCACCCCATTTGACAGATAAGGGAACCGAGGCACAGAGAGGTTAAGAAGAGTAACCCAGATCACACAACCAGTCAGAGATGGAGCCAAGGCCTACAGCTACCCCAGCGGATCAGACTCCAGTCTGGAGCCCTGGACCACCAGGCCAGCCTGCTCCTGAGTCAGGGCTTAGGCCCTGTGGCCTGATGTCTCAGCTGAGCTGAGAAACAGGGGGAATGGAGAAGAGAATGATCCAAGGGACACTGCGGAAACGGTATGGCTATGACCTCCCCATTGAGGTGAAGGACTGGCTGGAGAAAGTTTGAAATAAAGTTCCTTGGGGTTGCTGCACATTAAGGCGGGGGGCGGGGGGTGCAGGGGGGAAGCCCTGGATGCTACGGTTCAGTGGATTGAATGCCAGCCTTCGAACCAAAGGGTTGCGGGTTCAATTCCCAGTCAGGGCACATGCCTGGGTTGTGGGCCAGGTCCCCAGTAGGCGGCACGTGAAATGCAACCACACATTTAGTGTTTCTCTCCCTCTCTTTATCCTTCCCTTCCCTTCTCTCTAAAAATAAATAAAATCTTTAAAAAAAAAAAGAAAGAAAAAGAAAAACCTGGATTTGCTTAGGAGCACATACCAAATCCTGCTGCAAATGATCCTACATACAGGCCAGCCGCTTCCAGAAACAGCGTAGTTTCCAACAGTTGGGGCCCACTTGCTACGTAAGCTGAGTACCCCAGGGGTTGCCAGGAAAAGGGAGAGGGTGACTGTGTCATGGGCTGAATTGTTGCCCTCAAGATCCACATGTTGAAGTCATAACCCTCAATACCTCGGAACGTGACTTTATTTGGAAACTGAAGTGCTGTGGGTGTCACTGGTTAAGATGAATAGGGTGGGCCCCTAATCCACACCACTGGTGTCCTTATAAAAAAGGAAATTTGGATACTGACAGGCATAATACAAGGAGGTGCCATGTGAAGATGAAGGCAGAGCCTGGGGTGAGGGCTGCCAAAGACTGTCAGCAAACTCCGGCACGTGAGCGCCCGGCGCTGACTGTCCCTCACAGCCCTCAGCAGGGGGCAACCCTGCAGATACTTTCGTGTCTGTGGGGACAACACAGGCCTATTGTTTAAGCCACCAGCTTGTACTACTTTATTCTGGCAGTCCTAGGACACTCATACTGTGACCTATGTCATCCTTTCCCATACGAAGGTCATCTTTACAGTGTCCTTCAGGAAGCAAAACGAAGAGCCTACTGTGAAACTTTGTAGCACTGCAATGTATGTAATCACTGGACTAGTTCCGTATCCTAATTGTGAGTTAAAAACAGGCAAGTGTTTGAACTTTCGTCTATCTGCAGCTGCCTAGGCATCAGGGACTATCTCTGATTTCGAAAGGAAAACTCATTTTTACGTTAACAATCAAGGACCTTTCTCTTCCCCTTTCTCTTAGAAGCAAGTACTGACTGCATCAGATTCTTCCTGTGGCCTGAAGAAACACAGTCTCATGAACAGTAAACTGAGAGGTCCTGCTGGGAACCCCTCACCTGGGCAGAGGGTGCCCATCCCAGGGCATGAAACCACATCAAGATGACCGCAAACCCTCTCAGTTTCAAAGCGGCAACAGCTCCCTTGAAATACTGAAGCTGGCTGTGAGTAGCCATTCCACCTCCAAATAGGCTCACACATTCAACTCTGCAAAAACTGTTCATTTCTTTGTTGCACCCACGCGTTACTTTGCAGGACGCGTGCTTCATCGGTCGGGAATGAATGGCTGTGGTCACCGAGAGAAGCGTGTCGGCCCTGGGGAATTCCGGATTCTGTTTTCAGACAGTGAAGAGTCGCACAAAGAAGTGAAACCAAAGCAGTACTTCTTTTGATACTTAGAAAATCCCCTACTCCAGAATATTTGTGCACATGCACAAAAATTATGGAAAATTGTACTGTAAAACCAGAGTTCCCTACAACTCAAACATCAGCCACCAGAATGATCCATTTAAAGACATAACAAACCTAGGACAGCCCCTGGGGCAAAGCGCTGCCCTTCTTTGAAGCTGGCAGTAATGAACAAGTTATCAAGCAAGTAAGACACAAGGGGCACAGTTCTTAGCCTGTTGTGTGGAACGAACTGCTTCTCACAATAGCCCTATGTGGTAGGCACCTTTATTATTCTCCACGTGCAGATGAGGAGAATGCAGCCCAGACGGGTTGGGAAACTGGCCTCGGGTCACAGAGCTCTGAGTGGTGGAGCTGGGATTCAAAACCAGGCAGTCTGGCTGCAACACACCCTACCCCTTGACAAACAACCAACCAAACCAGACACAGAGACAAATAAGACAAAAGGAGACAAAGTGAGTGGGGACAGGTGAAGGATGGTGGGTTGAGGAGACAGAGAATACATCCGATGCACGCACGGGGCTGGCACTTCTCACAGCTCTTTCCAGTTAATTGGCACAGCACCCGGAGGTAAGCTTTACTCTCCCGCTGATGAAACACTGAGGCTTGGAGTGACCTGTATGAGGACACATCAGTAAGTGATGTCCCTAAACTCAGGTTGGCGGATTGCAAAAACCAGTGCCTGTTTCCCGCCCCATTTTCTTCCGGTCATGGCTTTAAATTGTAACCTCGGCATGAAAGACAGTATACTCTGCTTTAAAAAGCCAATCCAGCACAGAAAAACAGCAGGCCTGGGGTCAGGAGCGAGGGGTGTCACCCCGTTCCCGCCGCACACTTGTCCACAGAACCTGAGTACAGTTCAGGTGCTTAATTATCATGCCAGTCTGAGAGTCAGCTCAGCTTCTCGCCCCACTACTGGCACTCAAACTGCGTGGCTTTAGCCAACTTCCCAAACCTCGCTGGGCCTCCATTTGCCATAAGTACAAACTGTATAGAAGGCTGCCAGGCGTGTGTATCTCATAAGGTTAACATCAAAAAGGCACTACCAGCAAAGATGAACTGGCTGGGAAAACTCTAAGGTGCTTCACAGCTGATCTTCGCTGAAATCAGTACGACCAGGTCATCCCCACAGCTACCAAGGTCTAGCAAGGTCCACACCTGGCAGCGGGGGAGGCATCACCAGAATGGCCCCGTGTGAACTTCACCCTCCCCCCTGGGAAAGCTGTGCTCAAGGACTCCGCGGTCTGGCTGGGCCTAGGCCCCAGGAGCTCCCTGCAATGCAGGCTTGCCTGTTTAAACAGGTACCAACCAGGCGATGCTAAGAGGGGGAGGGAAGTCCTCACGGAGTAAACTAAACTGTCTGGTCTCCCTCCACATCCCTGCAGACTTGGCCAGCAGGTTGGCACTGGGCTCTGAGGGGGCCAGGGTACCATCTGGTACAGCATCCAGCATTGGGTTTCACCCCGTGGGTTACAGAATCAGGGAAGGTAGCCGAGCCGCACGCAACTCCCGTCAGGAGGTAGAAGAGGACTGAGGGGAGGGTCCAGATTGGATGAGTGGGTGGCCAGAGCCTTCCACTGTTCCCAACAGACGGGAGCCCACCGGGACTCACACCAACCCCCACCCCATTCGTTCCGGCCCCAGGAAGAGGAAGGGATCAGATCTGCATAACAGTGAATCACCGAGCACTTGGGCACGATGACCCCTCCAGGAGAGGGTGGAGAAGCCCGTCTGACAACTGCCCACACAGACGGCAGTTCTGACGAGCAGCAAACAAACCCGTCTAGCCCCACCTCCCATTTTGCATAAGCCTGCACTCCAAAAAACAACGTCCCAGGAACACGTTGATCGATACCAATTGTGAACACTTAAGGTTTGTTCCAAGAAAGGATGAAAAAGATCCCTTTGAAGGAACTCTGGATGAGGTGGTTTTGTGGAAATTGATGCTAAATGTCCTTACACACAGACACGTCAATCAACAGATCCTGGTGAACTTTCTTTCAAAAGAAAGTCAAGCCAAAAGGGTTGAACCGATAAACCAAAAGGAACTTGTTAGTCACTAGGTGACTGTCGGGGTTCCTGTTTTATGCTAATAAGCGATTACACAAGTTCTGGGAGGGAGGGAGGGAGCATTGTTAGCGCGGGGGAAGGTTGGTCACCGCAGGACGGTGTGCCACCCGGCCTCCGCCTGGACGCTGACCACTGCTCCTTCATCCAGGGAAGCAACAAAAACGAACTGCAATTGGGTTAAAAATCCGGGCAGGGGCCATCGCGTTAGGCCGGGAGCGTGGCTCGTAAAGAGAAACGTGCGTCCTCCAGGAGGCCAAGGCCGCCTTCGGGTCCTCCGAGTCGGGCACGGGTTCCAGAAAAACAACAACAACAACAACAACAACAACAACAACAACAACAACTCAGTGTCCACGAGGTACTGAAAAACTGCAGTGGGCAACCACATTACCAGCATCCCTTCTCCTCTCCCCTCCCCGGCCCCGAACTACTCTTGATAGCCATCAAACACAAGAAACGTGTCCCTACAATGAAACAGACGATTTCACCCACTTTTCTCAAGAGCCTAAAAGTCTAATAGCCTTCATTCAGATTCACAAAAAGGAGAGGCTGAGTCGTCCGCGAACCCGCAAACCCCTAGGGGCTGGGGATGGAGAGCCAGCGGCGTGCCCCCTCCCCAGGTTCCTCGCACTGTCTCGGGATCCCGGCCAGCTCACTCCGCACCGCGCCCGCGTCCTCGCTCTCCCGTTACCTCGCTCGCGTGTCCGCAGGCGTCCGGCACTTGAGCCGTCGGTTCCGCGGGTGCCTCCTCCTCCTCCAAGGGGCTACTCGGAGCTGCTCGGGGGTCCCCGCCAGCCCCCGGCGCAGCCTGGTTGCCGCCGTCCGCACTGGCGCCGACTCCTCCGGCCGAGGAGGCGGCGGCGGCGCCTAGCAGTCCGTGTGCGCCGTCGGTGTCCCCGGCCGCCACGCTGTGCACCAGCCACGCATCCACACGGGTGCGGGGGATAAAGGGGACCCCAAGCGTGCGCACCTCCCAGAACAGCTGGCCCTCGGGCTCCGCCGCGGGGTCTGGCTCCCGGCCTTTGGGGTGCAGGTGGTCCGTGCGCCCCCGCCCTCCCGATGCTGAGAAGAGGCTGGGCGCGTACGCGGGACTCGTCTGGCAGTCCCCGAGCAGTAGATCATCCCCGAGGAAGGTGGGAGGCGAGAACAGCAGGTAGAGATCTAGGTCCAGATCCAGGTGGAGCCCCGCCAAGCTCAGCAGGATGGTGAGATGCAGGAGGCCGCCGCTTTCGGACCACCACGGCTTCAGGTACTTCATCTCCCGTCGCACGCCTGGGGACGCCCCTGCCGGCGCCCGCAGGTCCCAGCGCTGCAGCCGCCGCTCAGACACGTGCGGGCCCCGCGCACCGCCGACACCTGCCCGGAAGAGGCAGACGCGAAACAATGGACCCGGACGCGCAGCGGCCGTCGCGGGCTCCCTGAGCCCGGCACAAAGGCGATCCTTCCCAGGTCCGCACCGTGCCTGCGGCTCAGGAGAGACGGAGGAGGAGCCACCTGCGCGCGAAGGCCGCCTGCCCTGCCGCCTTGCAGCTCCGCGCCACCGCCAGGCCGGGCCCCAGCCGCGGGCGCAGCCGCGGGGAACACGCCCACTGCCGCCTGGGGCCCGCGCCGATGGGAGGGGCCTGCGCAGGGCGGGTCGTGGCTCCCCTGCTCAAAGGCTCTTTATTCCACGGGAACGCAAAGCTCTCTGGGAAGCAGGAGTTGTGGGCGCTCAGTGGCTCCCCACTTTGCCCCGGTAGGCTGGGCGGTAGATCTGAATGCGGGGGTGGGAGTAAAGAGTCAGGAGTCAGGGAGAAGTACCGGTGGGAAGGGACCGGATGTGCAGACTGCGGAAAAAGCTGAGGCACAGGCATCTTTCAAAGGGACTGTACCCACGTGAGAACACTGGGCCCCCTCAGTGGGTTCAGGAGTCTCATCCCTGGATCCGGATACCTGCCTGTCGTGTGACTTTAAGTTACTTAACTTCCCTGTGCCTCAGTTGTCTTATCAGTAAAATGGGGAGACTAGTCCCTGTCCGACAGAGATGTGGTGGGGTCAGGTGAAATATTACATGTAAAGCCCAGAGTTTGACAGAGATTTTACAGCAGCCATTGGGATCCAAGAGCACTCTCCCTCAGGTCGCATGCTCTAGGCTCCCAAAGCCCCGCACTGTTCCCTGGGCGGCCCGCCCAATGCTAGGCCTTCCCTCAAGGTCTCCTTTGCTCCTTAAGTGAGAGTTACAAGCACCAGCTCTTGAGTTACTCTATATGGGTTCACATACTCTCTCCACCACTTATTTAGTAAGTAGCCTGGACCTCAGACAAATGGCTCACGCTGCCTGCCTCAACTTCCGCACTGTCAAATGGGACTAATAACAGCACCTTCCCCCCACCGAAGGTGCTGTTGTGAGTCCCAAATGAGATGCATATCAACCGCCAACCACAGCACTTGGTAGGTAGGAAGTGCTGAGTGTTACCCATTATTCGTAGTACCCATCCTCTAAGGCTTCACCCAAAGAGAGATCCTCTGAGTTTTCTCCATTTGAAGTTAATCACTTCCCCCATCTGTTCTCCCACAGTGCTTTTTCCATATGTCAACATTCAACACTTGGCACCTTTTACTTTGTATTCTAGTTGAAGATTGGTGGGATTTGCCCACTGTAAATTCTTGAGGGCAAAACACCCTGTTTGGCCCGCCTTTGTGCCTGCACAGTTCCCTGGCACTGGGCTTGCAAATGCAGGCTTTACTAACCCCACTCCCTGGGTGGGGAAGGAGGGGTGCACAGCTGGGGGCTGGCAGTTGTGTAGGAAGTTGAGCAAGACTTGTTTTTAAAGGCCCCTTGCTCCACCTAGGTTGCTCTTTTCTCTCGAGGCTACTGTGATACCTTCACACGAGGTTTCAGTTTGCCCCGTGAGAGCGAGGGGAGCAGAGTCGGCTTCTGCTTTGTCTTAGTGGATGAGTTAGGGGTGGCGAAGAGGCTGGGAGAGGGATTAAGAGGGATGCTGGCCAGATTCGCGAGATTTGGGACAGAAGCCCTGTTCACACCACTTAGTCCCTGGACAGCAGGTTTGGATTCTGGGCTTGGCAAATGTCAGCTGAATCCGTGTTTTCCCTCAGGCCCTGCCCAACTGCCTGTGTTGGAGGCTGTGAAGGATGTGAAATGGATATTTTTGCTTGGTAAATGTATGGTTTCTTTAAGATCAGATGTTTGAAACACCTAGAAATGAGGGAAAGAATGCTCTCAAATGCCAAGATATAAAAGAAGTGCTGGGGACCAGGTGAGAAGAGAGATGGTGCCTTCTTGGAAATGGTATCTTCCAGAATGTTGCAGAGTTGGTGCTCAAAAAAATTTTTTTCTCAATTGAATTGAGGAGTTTACACTTGAGGTATGTTTTGAGAGATCTGAACAGACTAGGAAGGGCATTCAAACTTCCTTTCTAACATGAGTTGTGGAGGGGGCTGACCTTTTAAAATGTGAGTCGATAATCATAGTATATGTCGGGCTGCTCAGTTCAAAAGTGAGGTTTAATTCTAGCTTACAGCCTGGTGAAAAGGAAAAGGAAGCACCTATAGGACTCTGGGGTAGAATATTAAACAGGAGACTCATAAGCCCGCCCACCCTTGACATCAATGGCAACAAAGGTTCCATTTTAAGGAATACGGAGAATAGAGTGAGATTATTATTTTTTTCTAGAATCTCTCCATTCAGGAGTAGCTAATAGTGCAAACCATTGTCATGTTAAAGCCTTGAAAAGTCATCTGCGTTTCTTAAAATCCTTAAATCAGCTCTACTCAAAAGATAGTCCAAAGCTGATGCCAATCCCCAAACCATTCATATGTGGTCCTGATGAGGGCCGTAATAGAATGGAGGCTGGTTAGAAATTTTTATAACAATTTGAAATTGTGGTGACATTCAGCATGTGATCAATGGGCTTGTTTTATGTCTTTGTTGTTATATTTTTCTAGAAAGTTGTATTTATATTACAAAAGTTGTGACAGACAACAGATTTGGAAATGGAAACCAAACAAACAAACAACAAAAAGCTGGTCCTCCTCCAGGTTTAGCACGGCCTTAAACGGAGTTTCTGTGAGGGAGGCAGGGTCTGTGGACTTCCAGTGCTCCCCTTTTCTCAAGCGTGGGCGGGACCCCGCGACCTCCCTCTAACAAAGAGAATACGGCAGAAGTGGTAGAATGTCGTTTCCAAGGTTAGGTTATGAAAAGACTGAGTGACTTCTGTTTTGCTTACTGTCTTAGTCCGCTCGGACTGCTACAACAAAAATACCATAGAACAGTGTGGCTTATAAACAACAGAAATGTATTGCTCACAGTTCTGGAAGCTGGGAGTCCAAGAGCAGGGCGCCAGCATGGTTGGGTTCTAGTGAGGGTCCTCTACCGGGCTGCCGACTACTGACCTCTTGTTGTGTCCTCACATGGCAGAAGTGGCAAGGGAGCGTTCTCCGTGGCTTTCATCAGGGCCCTGGGCCTATTCTTGATGCTCCATCCTCATGACCTAATCGCTCCCCAAAGGCCCTGCCTCCTAGTACCATCATCTTGGGGATTAGGTTTCAACACAGGAATTTGGGTCGGGGGGAGGGCAGACACAAACATTCAGCTCATAGTACTTACCTTCCCTCTCCCTCTCCTGCTCTCTCCTTCTTCGAGAGGATGCCATGCTGTGAGCAAACCTGTGTAGAAGCTTGTGCAGCAAGGCGCTGGTGTCTTCGGCCAATAGCCAGTGAGAACCTGGGGCCTACCAACAGCCGCTGAAGGGAGCTTAGAAGCCGATCCTTCCCTGGTTGGGGTTTGAGATGACTGTAGCCTTAGCTAACTCCCTGATCAAACCAAAGGATGTATCTAAGTCACACATGGATTCCTGACCCAGAAATGACTCCAAGATAAAAAATGTTTCAAGCCACTACATTTTGCGGGGGTGATTTGTTATGCAGCCTAGGTAACTAACACACCTTGTGTGAGAAGTGGACATTAGACTAGTGGAAGGAAACACTAAAAATGCAACTGCAGGTATAGTCAATGAGTAATTTGCAACTATGAAGTACCATTAGCTAGGGCATTCTGGTCCCTAGATGCAATAATCTGGTTTCCCTAAGATGACAATTTGACATGAAACATAGTTACTACTAAAACATAGCCACCAGTCAGCTGGGGTTAGGTGAGCACAAGTGCTTTCTCCCATGGCAGTTTCTTGTAAATATCTATCCGAATTCAGCAAGAAAGAAAACAGATCTGGACCTTGGCATCCTTCTTTTAGAAAGTTTCTGCTAAGATTAGCCACAGGAAATTTAAATTTTTTGTAGAAATTCCAGGATTAAGCAGAATAGCCTATTTAAAAAATCCAAGACACATATATTGAGATAAAAGTCATATTATCTAGGAGTAAGATAATATTAAGATAGATTTATACATGTTTTAGTTTCAAAACAGGCATAGTCATTTACAATTTAAATGACTGCAATTGTTGAGACATTTTGCTAAAGGCTTCTGCAAAATCAATTTATGAACGGCCTAATTGGCCATCTCATACCAGTCTGATGAATCAACTGATAGTTAATGAAGATGAAGAGTTTATCCATTTCCTCTTGTTAGTCTGCAATCTTATGAAAGTTTGACTACGAAGTTGTTTCGGACAGTGTGGTGATAATTTCCACCATCTATCTGCTCACATACAGCATTCACAACGTAGGAGCTTAGATTGCTTGACCGGCTCTGTGCTGGTCCCTTTTCACGCATAATCTCATTTACCCCTTGCAGCAGCTCTGTGAAGCAAGGCTCCCACCATTTTTTATTGTCTAGATGAGGAGAGGGAGGCTCAGGGACAGGACACCCTGTGGCCAAGGACACGCCCTTTCTGCTGCAGCCTTCCCCTCCTCTGCACTGTTGTGCTTGTTGATTCATTCTCCTCCTCGTGAGGGAAGAAAATGCCCTTTTACAATCAATGCATTCTTTCCATGGCTTTTGAAAGTGTAAAATCTGCTCAAACTGTATCTTCTCTGCAAAGTTTCAGGGGAAATGGAGAATGGGTTTTGTCCCTCCATGTGAAGCTCCTTCTTCTTGATCTGTTACACTAAAATGTGTATTTCGGGCACCCTCTCATGTTCAGCTCTTCTTGCACAGTTTTGATTCCTCTTGATCTGTGCCAGCCTCATTTCCATCAGTGACTCATATAAGCACCCTTCATATATGCAGACCTTCAAGACAAGAGTTGCAGTTTTATAGGGAAGTAGGATGTGTGCAGGGTGAAATGCACCACTGATTGGGGA